TCTTCTTCTTCTTCTTCTTCTTCTTCTTCTTCTTCTTCTTCTTCTTCTTCTTCTTCTTCTTCTTCTTCTTCTTCTTCTTCTTCTTCATTTGCCCCCCCACGCCGGCTGAGATCGGCCCCTCCTTTGTCTTCGTTGTTCATATTGGGACGTCGGCAGGTTCGTTCATTCTCTCCTCCTCCCAGTCCCCTTTCCTCTCGACGTCGTGTTGATGCTAATCTGCGGGGTTCTTTGTCTTACCGACAGCCTGCTCTGCCACGTCGACGGTGTTCGTCATTCATGCGCCAACCCCGCCAGATCAGACCTGGCTTTCCAGTGGTGACCGAATCGGATCTGCGGGCAGATCTACCAAATACCTGTGGCTTGACAGCCTCAAATGTCTGCCTACAGGCTTATCAGCGTCAATGTTATACTGCTTCCCATTTTGTCACGATTGCTTATCAGCTTGACGCTGTTGAAAATCAGTTGTTGTATGACCATAATGGTCCACCTCCTGAAGGTAGTAAGTATACTAGCTCAGGAGGCTTGTAAAAGTCTTACAGCTAGCATTCCACGGTCGCCACCTTCTTATGCATCATGTGACGCCAGGCGATGACCTTAATGACCATACTCACATTTCTGCCTGTATTTTGCACAGACCCGGGCATTATATGGCACTCGTTCGTGCAGCTTCCCAGTGGGAACTGTGGGATGGTGGGATAACGATTCAGGCTCTTTTCAACATAAATGAATTTCTGTGTGCGTTGCCGAATCATACTTTATTCTGGATTATTGACCGACTCTCGTGTGACACCTGTCGGGACAGGGACGCGGTGCGTCTTGGCTGCGGAATTCATCACCTATGCCATCAACATTATCAATCTATTGCAGCCGCCGCCGTCTGTGCCGAAGGGTGTCCAACATTTCCTCTTTGTACACATCCCTATCACCCAGATATGTGTTGTTCCTTTTTGTGCTCAAGGACGCTATCAGGACTGCATGATGCCGCACTGTGATGAACGTCCTGCTGTTTTTTTGACATGTGGACAACATGTCCTTTGTCAGGACTGTTTTGATGGGATGGTCCGTGCTAGCCGTCCTGCTGAATGCTGTGCTGAAGTAGCTCTCCTTGGGTATCCTTGTGAACATCCACGTCATCCTCGGCGTGCCTGTCCTATCTACCGGGTGGGGGTTCCTCTTCCTGACTGATTAATAGAATCAAGCGATCAGGGGCAACAGATGTGGAGTTGAAGAAAGAAGAAAGAAAAAAATTGAAACAAAAAGTAAAAAGAAAGAAAGTAAAAAAGCACAAATTTCTGAAGAAAAAAAAAAGAAATCAAGAAAAAAGAAAGAATAAAATAAAAGAATATGTTGAACCTTGTACTGACACTGGCAATTGGTTTATCTGTGGGATGCGTCATTTGCTTTCTTCCCTTGCCTTTTCTTTGATTGGATCCCTTTCTCTTTCTCTTGCCTCTGTGAGGTCTGGTTTCCTCCTCCTTTTCTTTACCTCTTTGCCTTTTGGCTGCGTGCAAGTGGGTCCTTGTGACACACGGGGATGGGGGCAGCCAGCGCTTAACATGTCATCCACGTGGCTGTCCTTGTACGTAAGAGGTGATGAACAGGTGGGGCTTTCCTTCCTTACTTCTTTTCCTTGTTTTGCTTTTTTTCGCCTTCGCGCTCTGATTCACAGTGTGACAATATATAGTCAAACAGAGCTGCCCGGTAAACCGTAGGCAAAGAGGGAGAAGAGGATAACAAACGAGGGGCTGTGACAAACTGTTTCGTCGGAGTTTCACGGACTCATCAGTAAAATACTAAAATTTGTATTTGAAATTTGGTAAAGAATTTCGATCTGACCTGAGGCAAAAGTTGTTCAGTTTATTTTTCTGCATAAGATTGTTTTTGTTTGTTTTTTTTTTTCGTATTTTTTGCTGAGTACGGACGCCTCCCGGCCGGGCCTGCCCGGCCAGGCTACGCCCAACCGGGCGGGGCCCGGGCAGGTCGCCCGGGCAAACCGGGCAGGCCAAAAAACACGCCAGATTTTTTTTCTTTTCTTTTTGAGGGCGGGGTCGTGCTGTGCTCGGCAAGGGGACCCCGAATCTGCAATAA